CTCCTCGCCCTGTGGTGGGGTTTGCACAAATTAGCACCCACTCTTTGGGTTTCCTATGGCACAATCAGGGTACTCTTCTGGGCCAGCTCCCCCCACCCCAGGAGGGCGGGTGAGGATCCAAAATGGGAGTGTGGGAGGGGCCACGTGTCCCCCAAAGGAATGGCACAGGAAGGGCAAGGGCCCTGGAGCCCTGTGGTTTTAAGGGGCTTGTGTGCTCCCCACACATGCTCCCAACACAACTCCACCTCCCCGTGTTGCGGGGGTCCCAGGAAAGGGAGTTTTGAAAGGGTTTTTTTTTTTTTTCCAGAATCAGTGAGGTCCGAGGGTGCTTGTAGAGGAGTGCTGGGCTGCAGACTCTAGGCTGGGCTGGGTCCCTCCGCCCAATGCCTCTCTGGCACCATGATGCCCATCTGCCGTTGTGGAGCACTTGGGCAAGGGCCTGCTGCTCCACTCTCCTGGGTCCAGATGGCCATCCTGTGCCCTCTTCTCCCGTGCTCTCCCCACTGCCCTCGCCCCCAGCCCCACTCAGAGCCAGGGCCTGGGTAAAAGCCAAGGCTGCCTCCCAGCACCTTCTCCTTCCCGACTGGAGGGTCCTTGGTTGTCATGGAGACCAGGCCTGCCCACGTCCCTCAGCCTTCCGGCAGGGAGGGGGAGATGGCTGGGGTGCCCGAGTGGAAGAGGGACAGATATCCAGATAGAGATAGCAGGAGAAAATCCACCCCCCTCCACACATGCACACACACACACGCGCACACACACACACACACACACTCACACGAGAGCCTGAGAAAGGACAGGCACAGTGTATGAGGTTTGTCGTGACTGATCTGTTGTTGGGTTAAGAGAGTATAACCAAGTATGCAGATGTGTGCGGGGCCAGGTGTCCGTGTGAACGGAACATGCCTCAGGGAGCCTGAGCGGACGAGAACATGTTTATCCGATGGTGTGTTAGGAGGTCCTGTTTGTACAGCACGCATGGGAAGGTGTATCGAGTAAAGGTGTGCCTGTGAACGTGTACCCGAGCTGTGGTGACTGTGTGCACGTGGGCAGGAGTGTGCATGCACTGTGGGGGGTGTGAGGGCCCGACTCCCTAGCTCCTAAGTACTGGGTGAAAAGGTAGACTTTGGGTGCCGGTCATTGGGTAGACGATGAAGTATGGGTGGGAGAACCTTGGGAGAACCAGGAAGGAGCAGGGACCACGATGTAAAGACCTGACTAGCCCCCTTGCCTTGCCTTCATGGTAAGATCGTGCTGCTTCTCCCTTTCCTCCTTTTCCCCAAACTGTAGGCCCCCTGTACCAGGATTGTATTCCCCCCTTGAAGTGGGAGACCGTCCAAGCCAGGTCCTGGTTTGTCCCCTTAAATCAGAAGTTTCCAGAGTGTATGGCTTGACATTCTTATTGGAATAGGGTTCTCACTTAAATTTGAATTTCAAATAAAAAGGGAATAATTTTTTTAGTATAAACGCATCCCAAAGAGTACATGGAATTTACTTATACTAAAAAATTACTCATTGTGTCTTGAAATTCAAATTTAACTGGGTGTCCTATATTTTTATTTGCTAAATCTGGCAACCCTATCCTGGAAGCCCCCCAAAGACACAAATAGGTTGGAATGAAGGATAGAAAAAGATATTCTATGCAAATAGAGACCAAAATAGAGCTGAGAGGGTATACATACTAATATCAGACGAAATAAGATTTTAACTCAAAACTTGTTACCAGGGGCGCCTGGGTGGCTCAGTCGGTTCGGCGTCCGACTCTTGATTTCGGCTCAGGTCATGATCTTGTGTTTCATGGGTTTGAGTCCTGCATCAGGCTCTGTACTGACAGTGTGGAGCCTGCTTGGAATTCTCTCTCTGTCTCTCTGTCTCTGTACCCATGCTGTCTGTCCCTCTCTCTCAAAATAAATAAACTTTTTAAAAAAGTTGTTACCAGAGACAAGGACACTGTATATTCATAAAAGGGTCAATCCAACAAGAAGTTATAACAATATAAACTAATGTGCATTTAGCAACAGAGTCCCAAAATAGATGAAGCAAACGTTGACAGAATTAAAGGGAGAAATATACAGTTCTACAATAATAATAGAAGACTTTAATACCCCACTTTCAATAATGCATAGAACAACTAGAAAGAAGATCAATAAAGAAATAAAGGACTTGAACAGAGCTATAAACGAAATGGATCTGAAGGCACATACAGAACATTCTACCCCACAACAGCAGAATCTGCATTCTCCAATGCTCATGGAACGTTCTCCAGGATAGACCATATGTTAGGTCACAAAACAAGCCTCCATGGATCTTAGAAATTTAAATCATCCAGGCCATCTTCTCTGACCACAATGGAACGAAAGTAGAAACCAACAAATAGGGAAAACTGGAAAATTCACAGCTATATGGAAATTAAACAATACACTCTTAAGTAACCAATGGGTCCAAGAAGAAATCACAAGGGAAATGAGAACATTAGAAAATACTTTGATACAATAAAAAAAAAAAAACACAACATACCAGAAATTCTAGGATTCAGGGAAAGCAGTGCTTGGAGGGAAATTTGTAGCTGTAAATGCCTACATTATGAAAGGAGAAACTTCTCAAATCAGGAATGTAACTTTATACTTTAGGAAACTAGGGAAAAAGGGGCAGCTAGTGGCTCAGTTGGTGCAGCATGAGACTCTTGATCTCAGGGTTGTGAGTTCGAACCCCGAATACTTAAAAACACAATCTTAGGGGCACCTGGGTGGCTCAGTTGATTGGGCGTCCAACTCTGGCTCAGGTCATGATCTCACGGTTCGTGAGTTCGAGCCCCGCGTTGGGCTCTGTGCTGACAGCTCAGAGCCTGGAACCTGCTTCAGATTCTGTGTCTCCCTCTCTCTCTGCTCCTCCCCTGCTCATGCTCTGTCTCTCTCTATCTCTCTCTCAAAAGTAAATACACATAAAAATAAAAATTTTAGATGAAGTATCTGACTCCTGATTTTGGCTCAGGACATGATCTCACAGTTCTTGGGATCAAGCCCTGTGTCAGGCTCTGCACTGACAGCATGGAGCCTGCTTGGGATTCTCTCTATCCGTCTGTCTCTCTGCCCCTCCCCTGCTCAGGCGCTCTCTTCTCTCTCTCAAAAATAAATAAATAAACATTTTTTTAAAGATTATGAGAATATGAACAATTAACTGTATGCCAAAAAACTGGATGACCTAGATGAAATGAACAAATTCCTAGAAAGACACTAACTACCAAACCTGGCTCAAAAAGAAAATGAAAATCTGAACAGAATTATGAGAAGTAAAGAGATTGAGTCAATAAGGAAAAAGCTCCCAACAAAGCAAAGCCCAGAACCGAATGGCCTCACTGCTGAATTCTACCAATCATTTAAGGAAGAATCAACATCAATCTTTCTTCAATTTCTAAGCAATAGAAGAGGCAGGAACACTTCTAACTCCATCTGTGAGGGCAGTGTTACCCTTATACCAAATCCAGACAAAGACGTTACAAGAAAGCTACAGGCCAATATTCCTTAAGAACATTAGGGGCTCCTGGGTGGCACAGTCGGTTAAGCGTCCGACTTCAGCCAGGTCATGATCTCGCGGTCCGGGAGTTCGAGCCCCGCGTCGGGCTCTGGGCTGATGGCTCAGAGCCTGGAGCCTGTTTCCGATTCTGTGTCTCCCTCTCTCTCTGCCCCTCCCCCGTTCATGCTCTGTCTCTCTCTGTCCCAAAAATAAATAAACATTGAAAAAAAATTAAAAAAAAAAAAAAAAGAACATTAGATGGTCTAAGTTCCAAATAATTGTAGTATTTATTGTTAAATATGTGTGTGGATGGGGGTGTATTGTAAGTCAGCATTTTTTGCTTACTTACCCTTTAATAAACAGTGTTTTCAACATGTGAGTCAATATGGAGAATTTCCAATTATACAGCAGATCCTGTATATGTGAGTTTCCATATGGGATTGTTTGGAGAACAACTTAATTACAGCGAGATCTTTCAAACTTCCTCGCATAGTTTGTGTCTCAGTAGATTCAAAACCATCAGTGACTACAGGGTCATTGTCAAAATAAAGAATAGCACATGAGTTCTTCAATTCTGTCATCTTTCTAATGGGTCCAATCATGTCAATATTCTCTACCTGTCAGTCATTTTCTCTGATTTTTGGAGAAGAAAAACTTCAGGTTTTGCCAAATAGAGTGAAATTTTTCTGACGAAGGTATTTTACTGGAAATTTTTGACTATTGAAACATTTGTAAGCCACTGTAAGCCACTTAGTTTCAACTAAAGAAACAAAGACAGAAACACATTGCAATTTCTACATTTTGTTGTGAAATAATCTCTACCAAATTGATCCTTATATTTAAGACTTTTCCTATTTGTTTATCTGTTGCTTCGTGTGGAAGGGAATCTTCAAGGGTAAGATTAATAATTGTTCTTTCATGAATTATGAGCAAAGATGAATGGACAGGTATGGCTTTAGTGTCATGAATTGAATATGATTTGGGAAGATTGATTTAGACATATTTACGTATTTGCAGAGGCTATAATGTGATAATTTGCTACTATAACAGACTAATACAGAGATACAAGTTATTCGCTATTTTCAAAACTATATTAATGTAACTGAAAAGTATTAATCATTGCTATTTTCCTTTTTTCATACTTTTATTTTTAAAAATTTTATTGGCATGAATAAATGTATATATATATACATGTATACGTATATATACGTATATGTGTGTGTGTATGTATGTGTGTGTGTGTGTGTGTGTATATATACCTTTAAAATTCACTTTTAGGAGTACCTGGGTGGCTCCGTCGGTTAAGCATCCAACTTCAGCTCAGGTCATGATCTCGCAGTTTGTGGGTTCGAGCCCCACATCAGACTCTCAGCTGTCAGCATGGAGCCCGCTTCAGATCCTCTGTCCCCCTCTCTTTCTGCCTTTCCCCTGCTCACACTGTCTCTCTCTCAAAAATAAATAAACATTTTAAAAAACACATTTTTACCGTCTGTGTTTCTTTTCCAGCCATTTTTATTATTTCTTTCATTGCAAGAGCATAGCTACAAGTAAGTTCGCTGTGTCAGGGAAGGGATGACCCCCACTCCGTATGTCAGATGCACTAGAAAGGGTCACTGCCTGGAAGAGGCATTTGTCTATGGCCCCAAGACCAGGCCTGCCTGATGCTCTGTGTCTGCCTCACTGCTTTCTGGAACCTTCCTGCCCAGCTAGGAATAATACCTGCTGGGGGGCCCCCAGTCTTAGCCGATGGTTCCACAACATCCCCCTCATCCCCTGGGCCTGGCTGCTTCCTCTGCCATGTGGTTCTCGGCCCCAAGCCAGCAGGGAGGCAGACCAGGGTGAGAGCAGAAGGGAGCCTCACGGTGTTAATTGGTGCTAACGAATTCCTGCAGCCCAGTCTTTCCGTCTTTCCTCCACCGCTGCGGGGAGGCAGCTTTGCACTTTGCATCCTGAAGTCAAGCAGCCCCTTCCCCATGCCCTAGGTGCCCTGCACACGTGAGAAGGGTGGGAGCAAAGAGGGTGTTAGTGTTAAAAATAGCACCTTCTCTGTGCCGGGGTCCTTCCTAAGCACTTTTCGTGGATGCTACTCGTTTAAGCTTCGCAACAAGGCAGGCATTATTCGGAATCCCAATGTACAGCAGATAAGCAGCCAATATATCCTGAGTCCTTGCTCTGTCCAGTCTCCATCCCAGGCCAGGGACAGACTTTGCCCCAGCAGGTGGCTGCTGTCAATCATTTTCTCTGTTTGATAGAAGAGGAAACAGGCCCGGAGAGGTTAGGTAATTCCACGAAGGTCACACAGCCAGCGAGTGGCAGAGACAGGATTTGGACTCAGATGGAGCTGATTCTAAAGTCTGACGCTCTTTACCACCACCCAAAACATCCTCTCTGAGGGGCCCCCACTTAAAATCCTGTCTCAATCTTGTGGATACAGGAGGTGCCTGTAGAGACCCCGGGCCGTCCCCTCCCCTCCAGCCTCGGGTCACACCTGCAGGGAGTCACATGCTGCAAAGACTTGCTTCTGGCCCTGGATGCCTCGCTGCTCCAGGCTCCTGCCTGCCCCCTCCCTACGCTGTGACCCGTCCATTCTCCACAGGCCTCCTCCGTGGCGTGGCGAAAGAGCAACTTAGGCTCCCCTGCTCCTGGCTCTCCTTTCCTGGCCTGGAATGTGGCAGCAGAAGTCACAAGGGGGGAGGAGGAGCCCAGTAGTGCTGTCCGGTGCTCCTGGGGTGAATGTGGCAGGAGCCAGGGCGCTGGGGGCCCAGGTTTGGCCTCTCTTGACTATCGATTTGCTGGGGTCCAAAAGGAAGGATTTTGCAGCAACAGCTCAGCACAGTGTGCATTTCTCTCTCTCTCTCTTGCTCACTCATGCCTGACTCTACTGACCTTGTAGCAGCTCGAGGACCTGGGGGGCGGGATATAGTGATGCAAAGTATTCAATAAAAAACTCCGACCCGCTGATCCCCACCCTCCTTCTTGGGTCTGACGCTTCCTGTTCTTTGACTTCCACGCTTCAATTTTCTCATCCGAAAGTGGGCATAAAAACAGAACCTGTTTCACAGAGTTCTTGCAAGGAATAAGTGAGATGACGTATGTCACGTGCTTTAAAGGATAGTCCTGGCTCACGGTAAATCCTAGAGGGATGTTGGTTATGGTCCTCATTTGTTATTATGAAGCCAATCCCCAGGGATCAGGCAACGGGGGGCCAACCCCTGAAGGCATGGGGTAAACCTGGAGATTGAATACAAGCATTGGGGCTTCCAGAACCTTCTTTGCCACTGACTAGCTGGGTGACCCAGGGCGAGCTGCCTGCTCCCCACCCCACCTGCTGCTCCCCCCTTACCCCAATCCCATGCTTCAGTTTCTCATCTGCAAAATCCGGATGGTTGTAAGGATTAAATGAAATAATAAGCATAGAGTGCTTAACACAGTGCCTAGACATAAATGGTGGCTATTATCATCATTATCACTACTTATTCTCTGAGAGGTTGTCATGGGGACGGGAACAAAGAGCAAGTTTTTTTTTTTCTTGGTTTGTAACTAAGGACACAGGGACCCAAAAAGTCAAAATGACTGACCTGAACTCCGCTGCCGATTTCTGGCACAGCTGGGATTTAAGAACATAGTATCACCAGCCCCTCATACTAATAAACTGACTTGCTGCCTACAAACTGTCTCCAGGGGCACAGGCTTGTTTATCCTAGCCTGAGACCTGGTCATTTTGCCTCCGTTTTTTTTTTTTTTTTCTTTTTTTTAATGTTTATTCATTTTTGAGAGAGAGAGAGAGCAGGGGAGTCACAGAGAGAGAGGGAGGCACAGAATCTGAAACAGGCTCCAGGCTCTGAGCTGTCAGCACAGAGGCCGTCATGGGGCTCAAACCCACAAACCGTGAGATCATGACCTGAGCCGAAGTCGGACGCTCAACCGACTGAGCCACCCAGGCGCCCGTTGCCTCCATTTTATAAAATGGGTTTTTATTGGGGCACCTGGGGGCTCAGTCGGTTAAGGGTCCAACCTCAGCTCAGGTCATGGTCTCACGGTTTGTGAGTTCGAGCCCCGCATCAGGCTCTCTGCTGTCAGCGCAGAGCCTGCTTGGGATCCTCTGTCTCCCACCTAAGGCCCTCCCCTCCTGCACTCTCTCTGTCTCTCTCTCTCTCTCTCTCCAAAGTACATAAACAGACATTTAAAATAGATTTTTATTTTTTAGGGCAGTTTTAGGCTGATGGCAAAATAGAGCAGAAAATACAGACTGGCCACCCACCCCTGCCCCCCAACACAGACAACGCCTTTCTATCAACGTCCTGCACACGGCAGAGCGGGACATTTGCTATGATCCATAAACCTACACTGACACGTCATTGTCACCCAAAGTCCATAGCTTGCATCAGGGTTCCTGCCTGGTATCGTTCAACCTGTGGGTTTCGACAAATGTGTGATGTCCTGTGCCTACCGTTAAGGAGCGTACAGAATAGTTTCACTGCTCCAAAATCCCCTGTGCCCCGCCTATTCCTCCCGTCTCCCCCTTCGCCTCTGGCAGCCTCTGATCTGTTTGCTGTCTCCATAGCTTGCCTTTTCCAGAAGGTCAGGTAGCTGGAGTCATACCGTATGTGGCCTTTCCAGACGGACTTCCTTCACTTCATGACATGTGCGTCAGGTTCCTCCGTGTCTTTTCCTGGCTTGAGAGCTCATTTCTTCTTAGTGCTGAATGATATTCCGTTGTCTGGATGTACTGTTGAGGGCTACCCACTCCCCTGCTGAAGGACATCTTGGTTGCTTCCAAGTTTGGGCAATTACGAACGAGGCTGTTTACCCCTATGAACACCTCGTGTGGGTGTTTGTGTCGACGTAGGTTTTCAACTCCTTTGGGTAAATGCCAAGGAGCATAATCAATGGATCATATGGTAAGAGTATGTTTAGTCTGGTAAGACACCGTCACCCTGTCTTCCAAAGTGGCTGTGCCACCTTGCGTTTGCACCAGCGATGAAGGAGAGTCCCTGTGTCTCCACACCCTCACCCGTGTTTGGTGCTGTCACCCTGGGGAGCTTTGCTCCCATTTTGCAGGTGGGGAGACTGAGTCATTTTTCCAGTGGGCTCTGTGCCCTGCCCAGCAGGCTCGGGGCAGAGTGTCACCTGCAGGAAGAGGCTCCTCTGGTGGTCACCTCAGCAAGCATCTTCGCAGAGGTGATCCTGGAACACAGGGCAAAGCTGCAGGCCGGGCTGTTTCTCTCTCCCTCCGTGGATGGTGGGGTGGTTATGGTAGGTGCTATCTGGCTTACACTTCCCCTGGGGAGCCCCAAGTAGGAAAGTCGGGGCCCTTCCATGCTCTCCTTTCTTTGTCCCCTGGGGGACACAGAGACTGTGGAAGACAGGCCTGTCCCAGCTAAGCAGCAGGGCAGCACAGGGAAGGATCTGTGTCCAAAAAGACAAGAGACCAATGCGGTGCGGCAGAAAGAGCCCAGGTTGGAGCCACACTGACCCAGAGGCGAATCTTGCCTCCATCACTGCCTCTTGGGTTGACCTTGGGCTCCAACTCTCCGAGCCTCCATTACTTCATCTGTAAAATGGTCATAAACCCCCTCTAGGACTGTGGGTAAAGACAGATGGAGACAATGGACCGAAAGCGACCCAGCCCCTGAAACGGCTCACCTTGAAATCCTTGACCTTGGGTCCCCAGGTCTGATGATGGCAGAAAACACTCATCTTCCCACCTCCAGGGGGCCCCGGCAGGATTTTGTCCTTTGGGAAAGAAGTTTGGAGGAAGACGATTAGGAATTTGGATTAGCACACGCGGCTGCGGGTGGCTAAAGACCATGTTCCGGGCTGAGGAAGAGTTTGGGGATGGAGATCATCTGCGAGCTTTTAGAGACGCAGAGTGTTCGTCCAGCCCCAGACCTACTGCACCAGAATCTACATGTTAATAAGATGCCCAGGGCGTTCATTCATGTTTGAGGAGCCCTGCCTTAACAGCAAGTTAAGGAGAAGACACCCCCAGCTAGCCTTTACCTATCCCAGCCAATCCACGGGAACTGTTGAGCACAGAAGGCCAAGGCAGAGAGGGAGAGAAAGAGGCAGAAAACAAAACCCTTCCCAGGACGGCAAAGATCTACCTAGGACAGTACTGCCCGCACCTCATGGAGTACCTTCTTCAAAACTTTTAAAATCCCCTGCTAGTTAGTACCTGAGACCAGTCAGGGCCTACAGTGCCCCCAGTGCAAGATGCCTGGGAGCCTGGCCTGGACCCCGCCTGAGCCTCAGTCCCCCATTCGTCTCCTTCGGGTACCCTTTCACCTTCCCCCCCAGGGTATGGGGTTGACTAGATAACCCTCCACCAGGAGCACCGGGACTCATACTTGGGGAGCTGTCCCGGAGCCCTGTAACCAGCTCTCAACTCCAAGAGGGCAGACGGGTGGGTGGCTGGTTCCCACAATCGGGCTGGTGCTATCATTTCTGCAGGGTGGAGGTCACGAGAGATGGCGCCACTGAAATGGGGCTGCCACACTGATGAGGAGCGATTCCCGTGCAGACTCAGGACAAGTTCAGGCCTCTGGGCTGCCATCAGTCCGCTGCTGACCCTCGGGCTCGAGCCCTGTGCATGAGTCTGTGTGGTGGCTCTTGCCCATCCATGATTTGCCCATAGTGTCACCTCTGGCCTACAGCACAGAGTGACGGGGGTGTTAGCGAACGACCTTTGCCCTGGTGCCAGCCTCCGTGACCAGCCAGGGCACGTCTCCACCCCAGTGCAGTCTTCTGTGGCCTAAAGCACTTGTCATTCCCACCCTGGCATTCTGAATGGTCAACTTATGACCACAAAACGAATGATCCTTCTCGGTCTCCCACATATTGGGTAAGACTCGCATTTATGGGCATCATCAATAAAGCAGATGAAGACCCTTTGAGAAAGTAAGGGGAAGCTGCTGTTTCTGGACAACCCAACGGATGATGCAGCGTCATGACTGATGCGACTGGCATGAAAGAAACAGGAGCAGGGGGCTGCAGAGGTGAGCAGATCCATACCGTTCTGATAACGAGCAGGTTCCTAAGAACCACGGCGTTGTGAATAATAACCGCGTTCTCGTCTTTTTCTCATGGTGGAAGACAAAGGATTAACCAGGAATGACATGTTGGACAATAAAGAACAGGAAAAGAAGATGGCTCTTGGATTCTGTTAGGAATCTTCATCCACACGGACTGGGCAATAAACAAGTAAGTTAGTTTCTTTTCTGTACGCGTGATTATAAATCTTCATTGATAAATCACCGTGCCACACATGGGCCAAGAATCGTGCGGTGCATTTTTTTTTTTAATGTTTATTTATTTCTGAGACAGAGAGAGACAGAGCATGAGTGGGGGAGGGGCAGAGAGAGAGAGGAAGACACGGAACCCGAAGCGGGCTCCAGGCTCTGAGCTGTCAGCACAGAGCCCGACGCCGGGCTCGAACTCACAAACTGTGAGATCATGACCTGAGCTGAAGTCGGACGCTCAATCGACTGAGCCACCCAGGCGCCCCTGTGTAGTGCATTTTAAAATCAAATTGTTTATATAGACATGGATCCTCCCCAACACACAAATTTCCACAAGGCCCCCACGCGCTAAGGGCAGCTCCTTCCGGGGGTGGAGATAAGCCTTGTTCTTGTGAACCAGAATCAGCACATCTTGCAGTGGGCAGAGACCTTGGCCACCATCTGGTCCAAAGCCTGCTCTTTACAAATGATAAGGGGCTGAAATGCAACAATGACATCTCGGGGTATTTAACATGGACGAGCTGGTGAGTGCTGGGAGCTCAGAAAAGGGAGAGGACAGAGTGTCCGGGCGACGGGCGTATCCTCGGAATGAAAGGGCTTTTTCTGCTGAGCCAACCTGGAGGAGACTGGTGCTGAACATTCCTTAGGCAGCGGTAGGGGAATCAGGCACCGAGGGGGAGAGTGAGCAGGACCTGGGGGGGGGAGGGGGGGTGGTGGGCACTGTCGGGGACTCGTCTGGCTGGAGTGCATCCGGGAAGGGCGGCTGGGCTGTAAGCGGATCTCTGAGACCTGTCTCTGAGTCTCTTGAGGCCCCACCCTTGCCCTCCAAATTGAAGAGCTTCTCTCCCATGAGGCCATCTGGATACATGCCATTCTCATTCCTGGGGGCATCTTCGGGAAAGCCAAGGGGGCTAACCCTGGGCGGTACCTGGAGCCACTGAGTTTGCACACTGTTTCAAGCCACAGCACGGAAATCCAAAGCCACGGCCCCTCTCTGAAGCTGTTTCAGGCCGACTCCCCTCGCCTCCTCCTGTCCCTGACGTGCCTGTAATCTTGTCTTCAGTGGAAAGATTTTAAAAGCCTCTGGCTAAGATTTTGAAGCCCAGGTTAACATTCAAGTACGTTGCCTGAGAGATGGAAACGAAACAGCCCCTTCCTCTCGGTTCTGCATGGTTTGTGAAGCACCTTCTTACCCGTCCGCCAACGGGCGCCCACCATACTCTCTGGTGAAAATCAGTGTTTCCCAGAATCCCAGGAAGACTTATTTAAACACACTGCTGGACCCCACCTCCAGAGTTTCTGCATCAGTGAGCCTGGTGTGGGACCCAAGAATCTGCATTTGTAACCAGCTCCCAGGCGAAGCTGCTGCTGGTCTGGGACCCACACTTTGAGAACCACTGATGTAGGTGTGATCAAAGTTGAGGTTCAAAAGGAACTCAAGGCTGGATATGTGGTTCCCAGGTCCCAGGTGGCTCTTTACAAGGAACCGCTCACACCCTCTGTTGGTAGTTGGGGGCATGGCAGGGTGGTTTTCCCTCTTTCTTCTTTTTTTCCCCAAACATTTTTCATCTTTATCTATTTATTTCAACTAAGTTCATTTATTTATTCTGAGAGAAAGAGGGAGAGAGAGAGAGTAAGTGGGGAGGTGGCAGAGAGAGAGAGAGAGAAAGAGAACCCCAGGCAGGCTCTGCACTGTCAGCATAGAGCCAGATGCGGGGTCCGAACCCACGAACCGTGAGACGGTGACCTGAGCCCAAGTGAGACGCTTCACCAACAGAGCTACCCAGGTGCCCCAAACATTTCCCAACTTTAATATATGTTTGCCAGTCGGTATTTCTAGAGTAGATGGGTGTCTGTAATCTCATTCTGTAAATGAATAAACTGAGGCTTGGCGAGGCCATGGGGCTTTGGTAAGCCACATGCTCACGCGTGGCAAAGCTTGAGCTGGAACTCAGACTTCCTGATTCCTTTCCCTGCACCCCGGAGGAGTCCTAACCCACAAGCTCCTCAGGCAGATACCCTGTCCCCAGTGCTCTGTCTCTGGGCTGCGCGTGCAGTGTCTGCCTGTGCAAACCATCTTCCTTCCCTGTGACTAAACGTGCCTGTTTACCATCGTGGCCCCAGAGAGAGCTGGAAGAACAGACTGGGGGCAGGGGGCGGGGACAGGGAGGCGCTGACCTCTGGCTTCCCTCACTGAACCCCGTTCTGTGGCTCTTCCTCCTTCATCCACTTCCGTGCCTCCCACATGTGTGCAGCACGCCTATGGACACACACACCCACACGCGCTCACACAGGCTCACAGAGTGGGTCACGGGTGGCCCACTGTGCCCACTGGGCCCACCTGTGGCCCAGGTGAGGGTGTCCCCAGCCAAGGACACACAGATGTGCCTACTTTCAGGAGGCTCACCGATCACCACCCCTCAGATACAGGGTGAAGGATGACACCCCACGTCGGGGGCCCCGTTGCCAAAGTCGGTATTATGTGCATTGTCTTAGGGGCCAGGGAGAAAGGGATTGAGGGACAAGGAGAGAGAGAGTGGGCGAGAGACGGACTGAGGCAGGGACAGGGACATAGAGACAAAAGCACACAGAGACATGAGAGGACAGGGGGGCAGAGCTGGGGGACAGACAGGAGGAAGAGAGAGCATGAATGTCCAGCGGAGGGAAGGCAAGAGGAAGGAGAGCCCCCAGCCAGGCATGAGGAGCAGTGGAGGGGGTGGGGGGTGAAGGGCAGAGTGGGAAAGGCAGGCACGAGTGGGGTCTGTTGGTGCAGAAGTGTGGAGAGGTCACAGACACGCAGATTCGAGGCATGGAAAGGCGGGGACAGTGGCGACACGAGGTGGAGAAAACTCGGGAACTGAGGCAGGTAGCGGGGGAGAGAGACTGGGAAGACAATGGAAAAGTGATAGGGGAGAACTGGGGACCAGGACAATTGTATAGAGGGAAAGGGCCGAAGCGATGCGCTGGAACCACCGAGAAAAAGAGCAGTCCCTGTCCTCAAGCAGCTCCTCCTCCTCCAGGAAGCCCAACACACAAACAGGAAATGACAAAACAATGCGAAAGTGCAGAAGGAAGCTCCGGGAATATGGAAAGTGGCACAGAGGCTGGCATCTGAACCATCACAGTCCTGGTCATAGTCCAGGGAGGCTCCCTGGAGGAGGCAACATCGGAGGAAAGAAAGAGGAAGACTCTTATGGGCGCTGAGGGGGGAGCGATGGGCAAGAGTGTCACGGAGACAGGAAGCCTAGGGATTAAAGGGGCTGGGGTGTGCCTTGGAGGGCCCTGTTGGGGCTTCATCCTGAAGGCATCAGGGAGCCCCTGATGGATTTCAAGGAGGCAGGTCTGTGTGTGTTTCCTCAGGGAAGCCTGAGCTGCTGGGTAGAGAATGATTGGTGGGCACAAGATAGGAGGCAGGAGGATCAGTCAGGGAGGCCCAAGCAAAATAAATGGCTGCACTGGGCAGTGGTAGTGGAGATGGAGAGGGGGGGAAGGATTTGAGGGGCAGTGAGGTCTGCGGGGCCTGTCGACCGAGCACCCAAGGGCAGGTGGGATGCGCCTGTAGGTCAGGGGATGGCATGAACGAGGCGGCCAGTGAGCACAGGAGGAACACCCCCTTCCTCTGGGGCTCCATGGCTTTGGAAATTCCCCTCCGTTCCCTGCTACGGTGCAGCAGGTCTGGGATGTGTCCCCACGTCCGTGGGCAAGGACCAAGCCCTTCTCACTCCCAACATGGCGCCCGGGAAAATGAACACACTAGTCAGGGCGGAGCCTGACTTTGAGAGACCCAGTGCCTCACTCTGGCGTGCCGGGACCGGAGCCAAGGGGTTACTAAGGCAGAAGCTAAAGGTGATGTCTTATTGGATTGGTTGAGCCGTTACCCAGCATGCCCCATGTGTCAGCCATGCCTTGTGATTAGAAAGAGAGAACACATGGTCAGAGCCCATCCAAAGAGGACAAATCTACTTAGTTCTGGCCATTATGACACAGTTTGGATCAGGCCACTGTGGAGGTCATGTCAGGAGAGCCACCTAGAGGAGGTGCCATTTGAAGCTGGGCTTTGAAAGATGAATAGGAGTCTGCCAGGCAGAGAAAGTGGGGTAGAGGCATCTGAGGCCAAAGAGAGAGCATAGTCTAAAGCATCGAGGCGCCAAAGTGTCTAGGGGAGACAAGCGCACTCTCATTTACTCCCCAATTTGCAGGGCATTCCCTCAGTTTCCCTCGGCTTCCATTGCAGCTCCGTGCCTGGTCCCAGAGATCACCTTCCCATTAGACCACCGGCATCCAACTCCTTCCTCAGGCTCTGCTTTCGGGAGACTCCAAACTAAGATGGGCTGCAGGGTGGGAGACCTGGGGCAGGAGGTATCGTGGTATAGACAACTGTACTACAGAAAACGCATTTCTGAGTATCTTCTCTGGGCCAAACCCTTGATTTGGCAAGTGGATGCAGAGTTCTTTGAGAGGGTCCTCACGCTCCCAGACCTCCGTCCTGACTGGGGACATGAGACAAGAGGGGTGAGCCACCAGCACATGAGGGATCAGGAACGTTTTCTGTCTGCCTTTGGAGCGTGTCACATGGGTTGTGGGCAGCAGATTGATGTTCCTAATTACATTTGGCTCAAGCTGATATTAAGTATTTGTCTCATTCCCAGAGCCCACAATGCCGGCGGATGGTGGGGAAGGTGCCAAGAGGCATGCTGGGTAGCTGAGGCTAACAATCTGGGATTTTAAATATCCATGAGAGATAAAAGTGGACAAGTCACAGCCATGGGGGAAGGGTGACTGGTGTTCTTGAGTACCTTTAATGGCTTCCAAGAAGGACCGGAGGGGCCCTGGAAAAGGTCCTGAGGTCCATCTTCTTGTCTTGAAGGCTGACCTACCCAAGACCGTGGAGACAGGGAATGCAACCCATTTCTGATGCTGGATAGCTAGATGACGGAGATGTTTTTGTGGATCTAATTTAAATTTCTTCTAATGTAGGTCAAAGGTTTATTTTGCTTGATTCGTTGTTAATGGCATTACAGACTCACCAAGCACCAACTGTTTGCGGGGGGGGGGGGGTACTCAGTAAGAGGGCATGCCTTTGTGCTCAGGACACTTGTCAGCTCACCATCTCGACTGACGGCAAGCTCATGAAAACAAGACTAGGCACTCAGACCCAAAGGCAACAGGGGGAGTATGGGGGCTGGAGTTGCCAAGGGTACAGCTTCAAGCAATGTGGCCAAAGGCACGAAGTCCCACATGGAAATAGGAAGGTGTGCACAGAGGAGCATCTGCTCCCCAAGAGAACTGGTAAGTCATTCCAACTCCTCACCTGTGGAACCAGGACTAAGAGCTGTCCTTCCACATCCTAGGACAAGTGTGAAGCTCAAATAAGGAAGCAGGTATGACTGCACCCTAGAAGCCACCGAGCCAAGGCACAAGGCTGTGCCTGATCTACAAAGACTTCTGGGGGCGTCTGTGTGGCTCAGGTGGTTAAGCAGAGGCTCTTCATTTCAGCTTAGATCGTTATCTCAGGGTTTGTGAGAGCTGCGCTGTCAGTGCAGAGCCTGCTTGCGATTCTCTCTCTCTGTCTCTCTCTCTCTCCCTCTGCCCCTTTCCTGCTCAGGCGCTCGCTCTCTGTCTCTCTCAAAAATAAATAAACATTTAAAAAATTAAAAAAGAAAAGACTTCTGTTCAAGTCCTATCTCTGTCACTGTGTAATCTTGGGCAGGTCCTCTCCCCTCTCTTGAGTCTGTTCACTCAACCAAATGAAGATGATAATTCCTTCCTCATACTCTTGCATGTAGGATTACAGGAGGAAATGAAAATAAAAATAGCAGGGCGATCCACAAAGCACTCTACAGGTGCTGATTACTCTATTATTGTAGTCTACTCGGTGGGCTCCTTGAAGGCAGGCAGCCAATCTCCCCTGTTCTGCCAGCACCTGCCACGGAGCAGGTGCCCCTACGCCACTTGGTCCACTGGGTCCTAGTTCATTACTTGGTACAACCGTGGTGGAGCTGGAAGCCAGCACTTCCGGGCTTGCAGAGGGAGAGGGGTGCGCCAAGATCCCTCCCGCCTCCGCCTCCCTGTCCACTAACCCCTCCTCTCCGGAGTCTCAGCGGTTCAGTATCTGCCAAACCTGTTCTGCTCAGGTGCTCGGAAGGGGGGCCTCCCTTCCAGTGGTTGTCCCTCAAGTCCATCAGCAGCTCCAGGGCATGGTGTGACCCAGGTCAGGATGAGTGCACCACACAGGTCGCGCCTATGTTCCCCCAGAGCAGCGCTGCACCCAAGCGTGGACTCACCTAGGGCAGGGTTCGTCCAACCTCGAGAAGACAGCTTTTACAACATGGGGTTCCGTGGAGACCTCGTGGCGACGTGGAAAGAGCGGGCGCCAGGAGAAGCGCCTGGAGCCAAGTATGGCCGTGTGCCCTTGTCTAAGTCACTTCCCAGTCTGGTCCTGAGTTTCCTCCTCTGTGAAACTGGCGGCAATTCCCTCTGGGCTGGCCAATCGCTGCGGGACTTAGGTTCAAAAGACTGCTAGCGCGGCCCCCCTCCCGCGACCCTGTGCGGGTCCGGCGAGGCCTGCGGCCGCCACGCCCCTCTCCGCTGCCGCGCGGCACTCTCGGCCCGGGCGGACGTCGCCAACCTCCAGGGGGCGAGCCCGCGGGCTTCTCGGCCCACGCGGCGCCTCGGTCGTCTGGCGTGTGACTTCAGCAGCGTCCCCGGGCCAACGGGGCCCTCGAGCGCCGGGGTGGCCGCGCGCGCCCGCAGCCAGCAGGTGCCAGGGCCCGGCCTCTCCCGGACGCGTGGCGTCCGCGGGCGCGAAGGGGTTAAGGCCGCGGGGCCGGGGCGCCAGGCCCGGGCTCCGGGAGCGGCGGTGCCCGGCGGCGGGCTAGCGAGCCCCAGGCGCAGGGCAGGGCAGCGGGCGTGCGTGCGCTTCCTCCTCCTCCTCCTCTTCCTCCTCCTCCTCCTCCTCCCTCCGCCTCCTCCTTTGTAGCGAGTTCCCGGCCCCTCTTCCTCCCCCCGCCCCCCAGCCTGGGCCCTCTCCCCCTCTCCCTTTCTTCCTGCCTCGCCTTCCTGCGGCGAAGGAGGCTCATCTATTATAAATGCACATTCGGGGCTGACATCAGCGGCGAGCGGCGGGCGAGCGCCGACGAGCGGTCCCTGCGCGCTGCCCGCCCGGAGCGCGGCCCCAGGCTCAGCGGAGCCGCCCGCGGGGCGCGGGGAGCGGGGAGCGCGCCCAG